TGAGTTACTATATGTTCATCTGTTTTAAAGATATGTTTCCAATTCATCAATAACGTCAATGTTAAGAATAATGAGTTACTATATGTTCATCTGTTTTAAAGCTATGTTTCCAATTCATCAATAACGTCAGTGTTAAGAATAATGAGTTACTACATGTTTATCAGTGAAAGAAAGATGTGTGAATTTAATCGTCAAATTTCAATCCATTTTAAATATTGAATATATTACACTCACATCTCTAATACGACTTTCTACCATAGTGTGAAATTATAATGTCTCCAGGTTGTACAATGGAGCTTCATAGCTTATAGCGTGACAAACACAGCGCTGATAGCCAATTGTTCAGGTTTAAACTGAAACATGGAGAATGGCTAAATTAAGTCATTTGTTTGCACTTATTATGAGCTTTTAACAATAGGTAACTTTCATGACAAAGAAACAGGAAAACGGAAAGGCTAATCAATTGAGAGCTCAGATTTGATATTTTCATGCAATAATAAAATATATGATACTTTATAACCCAGATGTATACTATTATTTAAGATAACTGTATGTAGATTAAGGCTTTTAATTTACATCAATAAATTTCTCACTGAGGAATCTTTTCGTAGAAAAACAAATATCGTCTCAGCTTTCTGTTGATGTATTGGTCAATATTAAATACTGGTAGAATTCAATGTCGTCTCAGTTATTACTGTATTTATGTAAAAAACCAGCTTTCTGTTGATGTATTGGTCAATGTTAAATACTGGTAGAATTCAATGTCGTCTCAGTTATTACTTTTTTATGTAAAAAACCAGCTTTCTGTTGATGTATTGGTCAATGTTAAATACTGGTAGAATTCACTACGTAGTTTTTTTACGACCGTTATTTTATGTTTAATAAATAAACTAACATTTACTTTGAAAAAGGAAAGTTATCTCCTACAGGCCCAAAGCAAAGCATTTTTATGTGTTTGTTTTGAATTTTTAATTTTTTAGTACAATAGAATCACAGATTAAGTCGCAAGGACTACGTAAGTTCAAAACCACTAAAAATTTTATGCGATTTTCAAACTTAATCGTTTTTCATTAAAAGGTAATTCTCCGTGAGCACGATAGAAATTGGATCGTTTATGGAAGTGTTATCCTCAAGGTTGAATACAATGTTAGTCTTATATGAGAGTATCTATAACCAAAACAAAATACTTTTATGAAAGTATAATCTTTACTCTTAAATACTTAACCTCGATAACTAAAGAGGAGTCACCTTTACTGTTCGTATTTTACAGGATGGTACTGCAGGGTAAGTGTAATCATTCGTTGACAGCCAGTAACTTACAGGACCCAACTCACAGACTGCGAGTGGTTTTTTCTGAGCAATCTACAGATGCTCTTATCTACGTCGCTGTAAGTTTGATATTTTATTGTTAATCAGATTCTTTCAAATAACTAGGTTAATAATATTGTGACCCTTGGATGTATTAAACAAACAGAGATCGGTTACTGCAATCACGCGTTTATAAATCATATTCAGTACATTATTTTATACTAATTACAGGCTTCGGTGTAAGCGTATAGTATCAGTGGTGAAGAAACAAAAGTGTATTATCTGAGAATCTGTATTACGAAAGCGATAACAGTATTAAGTGTGTCTTTAGATACAACGTTAATAAATACGTTACAACTACTATTGCGAGGCACATTACTCCAAAGATTTACTATGTATAATTCTTTGTAAACAATTTTTAGTTGTGTAAAAAGTAAGCAATAAGTACACTGTTTGGAAGATTAAACGTATGCAAGTCTGCATTATAACTAAAGGTTTTTTGCCACGACATCACACATTTCTTTTGTGTACTGAATACAACTGAAGGATAAAGCACAAACTGGAAACCAAATAAAATACTGTAACAAGAATTTAACCGTGATATATGAGGTTAAATCCTTTATAAGAACTTTCACAAAACTTAGTATACAGATTTATTGTTGCTGTTTGCGGTTTTGCTTATTATTGGCAGTAAGTTTAATTATGAATTTAGTTTAGAAAATCTTTTCAGAGACTTTCGAAGGTCAACAATCCCGGGATCGAGATTGATGCCATTTGGCGTTACGGTATTTAACAGTAAGCTTCTTTAATGTCCCCGTTTCTGTTAGATGTAAAACTTCTCTCTATACCCGTCAGTTTAATTAATGTCTTCAAGGCTTACTTTATATTATCAGTGTTATTCTTGCTTAACTTCCTCTGTATTGGTATGATTTCCTATATATTGCGTCACATTATTATTTTCTCTATCTCCCACCACCTTTTGTCGTTATTTTATTTATTCTTGTTTTGTCTTTAAAGAAATTGGATAACGATTCTTATAACTATTGTGCCACACGAGTCCTTTATGTACTTTACACACCACTTTGGCACAAACTAAACCTGACACCAACAATTCTAGGTTATGATTGGCTAACTCTCAAGGTCAACTCATATTGAACATCTCGTTTACGTGACGTCGACATCCGTACCTATATATTTTATTACACTCATTAAACATAACCCTTTATTCTCCCGAAGAAGAATAGTCAACTGTTCGAAAACGCTCGCATTTTGGGTCTCGTTTGGAAACATTACAACTTTTGTAGGTGATCCTGTGTGCTAACTTCTTAACCAGAATGTAGTAATAAATCTTCTGTGTTTCACAATTCATGACAACCATTTTTACCATGTTTATATTCTTTCATCTGGTCATCCACTTTTTAAAAGACTCTTTGAGTAATGCCATTTAATGAGAATAAAACTTTATAATATTACTACACGTATGAAATGTGTAAGAATATATAACTTCTATCCTTAAAAGGCTTAAGCATCCAAATAGGTATAAGAACAAAAATATGATTTTAATTAAAAGTTCTTCTTTGGTTTAGGTTGTGGTGTTTTTTTATGCTTCTGTTATCATAATTCTGGTTGGCACCAATTTACACCGTTTTCAAGGGACACGTTTTAGCACTTCTAGCGGCAACAAAGAGAAGCAGAAGGCACGACAGTTGGTGGTTCAAGTGGACGGAGATGGTCAGAGGTATAAAACGACCACTAATCCAGAGATTGAAGGAAAGACGTCAGTGTGAATGTGAGACGAACGTAATTATTGAATTAAAAAGCAAGTGTTCGTTAGAAAAGTAAATAAGTTTTATATGTAGCAAATTATAATGTCGTGGCTCAGACAAATAAGTCTAATTTTGATGTTTTTTGTGATACAATAAAATACGAACTTCGAAGTGTCATTAAGATCATACAGTTATATATATATGATTGTTTCTTTAAATAAAATATATATCTACATAGTTACTAGTTGGGCCACATAAATATACCTGACATGTTATTAATTTAATTGTAAAATCTGTGAAAAAAAAATACAAGTAAATCAATAAACAAATAAAAGTAAGCAAAAATGTCCTTAATAAGGACTTTTCTCAAACGTAGCAGCAAATTACAAGGTTGTTAAAAAAAGTCATTTTTTGTATATGAAAACAAATAAAATGGTGAACTGTCGCATCACAAGTGCCCCGTGAATTGCTTTGCAGACAATGGGCATCAATACATAAAAATTTTCGGTGAACAGGTCACCACTTTCCATGCACTTCCATAAAGAGTGTGACATTTGAATCTCTGAATTAAATTTAGTAGTTAACTTGTACTTTGGATTTAGTATTTTAATATATGCCGATATTTTAGTCAATTTACGATATTTGCCAACAAGATTGTTATACACCGTTTCCGTTTTTAACACAAATACGTTTTAATATACACACAACAGTACGATTTACAATAATAGTTATTACAAATAGTTACTACAAACAATGATTTATAAACAAAAGTTTCACAAACTTACAAACAATATAAAGTCTTCTTTCTAGTTTGGAACTTTCTTGATATCTTATCGAGGGTTTACGATGAGCGAGTTAATTACGAGTTGATGTAGGTACGATCCGCTTTGTCCTTGGCCACACACACTAGGTTTTCCACGGTTGAAGTTAGGTAATGTTTTCCTAAAAATACTAATGTCCGATGAGAATCCACTGAAGTTAGACGATTTGTAGTGTTCGAAATTTACAAATATTCCTGGTCAAATATCTTAAGTTTTCCGATTGGTAAACGTGTTATAAAAATCACAGTTATAGCTTTCGAAGTTTATAGCACACTGACTATAGCGAACTACTAATAGATACTCTACTTTGGTGCGTTTTACATCTTTCATATCTTCCCGTAGATTCCTAAGAGGATCGTAGAAATTTGAAACTGTTTTCAGACTGAAAAGCATCGACTAGATAAAGACATTGTATATGACGACATTGTAAAGAGCTCAGAAACGTTCCTGTAGCACGAGGTGGTTATTAATTTTAATTTAACGTTCTATTTAAATGGAACAACACAAATAAATACATTTATTAAATATACACAAGATAAAACATGAGTATTAAAAAATATACAGAATATTTTGTTATATATATGTATTATTACGACAGCGGAAGTCACGTGACGCTGGTAACACGTCATGAGATTCTCGA